ATGTACCATAACAAAAATTTAGTACTGTAAAAATGTGAGAGAGATTAATTATAATTCCTATATTATTTGCAAAACTCCCAATAAACGCAGTATTTTAAATTTTGAATATTATGGAGAGAGATCATATTTTACCACAATATTCGTCCATTAAAAAGGGAGATACTCATGTACCTACATGCGATAAAAAGTATACAGTGGAATTCGTTTATTATGACTCCGCCTATATTGACCAACCGATAATATACATTTTACATAGATTTAATTATTTTTATTGCGTTTAGTTAGAATCTCTAAATATTTTACGGGATTAGACTCCAGTGATGATATTAATTTTAATTTGCGATTGTACCTTTAGCCATTTCTGACGAATTCTAAAGCGATACTACAGTGGAATTCGTTTATTATAACTCCGCCTATATTGACCAACCACTTAATATGAAGTAATTGCAGTGTTAACTTTGGTTTTCGTATTAAATTCTCTATAGAAAAGTTGGGATATAATGACCCCGTTTAAAATGACATCGTTTATTATGAAATCATATACGGATATAGTGACCCAAATGATTAATGATAATATTTTCGCTCATTTTTCTGACCCTTCTTAAGTATATTGATATTACTGTTGCTCACGCAGCTTGCGTTGCCTGCTATTTTTCTCATTTGTGCGCGAGCAATTTTTGCTCCCTGTTAAAATATACTCAGCACCCCAAAGATAGTAAAATTTCAGAAGCATGTTAATCAAAATTGACAATGCCTCTACAAAATCCAAGTCCTATACAATAAATTGTTATTTTAGAAACAAATAAGAAGATTTAATAGAATTTCCGGTTGTATGGAAAAAAATAATTATCGCTTCGAGCTAGGATGTCATCATTTTTCTTATTCATTTCAGTATTATTGAAGATTATGTTCTTTCACTGCGGAATAAAAAACATTCGTTCAGCCAAGTTTGTTAAACAAGAAAACGTCTAACTAAAATTATTCTTTGCTACCCGTCTAAAGAGAGCTTCGGTTGCTAATTAATTTTAAAGTAAACAGAGTAACGAAAAGGAAAGAATTTTTTTCGGTTAGAAGTTCCTGGTATATGATAATGTCATTTAACAGTAAATCTATCAGGACATCATGATTGTTCAGAAGTTTATTTCGTGGGAAATTGTTACAGTGACGTGACTTTCCGTTTCTTCCGGAGCAAAAAAGATAAAAAGGAAAACATTTAACATTGTAGTCCATTTCATCTTAACAAAAAAAAAAATCATTTACGAAACGTTTCATGTTTATACCTTATATGTCACGCATTTGTTGACATCTGCATAACTGCAATACGCAAAATAGGTAAGAAATTGAAATCAAAGATTCGAGCGGGCTGATGTGTTGTGATCAAACTGAACGATTAATAAATCAAGACGTTTCGTCGACAACTGAAGATGATATCTTCAGTGGGTACCGCGACAACAATCTAGAGTTCCGGAAGTGGCAGTCGTTATGATGATTTATTGAATCATTTGAGGAGGCCACTGGGTAATGAAGCAATTGGTGTGTATCTATAATAAATGGGGGAGTCCAGGAGCGAGGATGTTTCATGCAATAAAGTAGGAACTGTATTCGACTGTCGGTAAATAATCTGGCAGTATTTCTGTTTTCGACAAGGTTAAGTGAATTGACAGTGTCGGAGGTTGGCATAGTTTAAAGGAAAAAATTAAATGGTAGAGTTTAATATTATAAGACCTGCCCTTATTAGCATTGACAGAAAGTTGTGGATATTTATATGAGATGGGATATTTTGGCAGTTAAAGAGGAAAAGATATATTGAGCATAACTTGTTGCAACTTACCCCAGTTTAGAGAATAATGCGGAAGAAACATTAACGATTTTTTATCTCTCAAAAATAACCCCCATATACAACGCATATCAAAAGAAATGAAACCATACAATGTAGCTTCAGGATTCTCGCTTTCTGGCATTTCATATTTCATTTAGTGAAAATTATTTATATTCTTTGTCATTCGTTTCAGAATGCCTAAACACAAAATATACAGATCCCGTTGTTCCTTTATATTCACAAACGTGTATGAAGCAGTTAGCTCAGTAGCATTAGATCTTAGTGTAGGAATATCGATAGAATTTTCTTCTCTAACATTACGACCATTATCTAAAGCTGTTTCAAGAGAAGAAAATGCAAAAAGAAAAAAGCGAATAAAAACAGAAATACTAACAGAAACACTCGAAAAAGAACTTTTATGAAAGGAAAAATTGAAGAATTGGTTAGGTCACACTTTTCAGTACCTAAAAATGAAATGAGTAGTAGATGGTGTAGGGTAAGATCGAAGGTTTTTTACTCGATAACACGTATATATAAAGCCCTGATAGACTCTAAATAACAGGGATTTCCGTTCCGGCATTTAATCGTTCTATACACAAATAGAAACCTTTTATAAATATCACCTAATTCCTTTCGATAAGGTTCATGTGACACAGCAACGCATTAATATTCATATATTAATGTTAACGGGGATAGAAACGCAATAAATCAGTAATGATCATTAATTTTATCAATACCGGACAAAGTTATTAGTGATATTATTATTATTATTATCATTTGTGCGCCATCAGAACATGTGGTATCAGGGGATGATGACGTTGACGTGCCGGACAGGGGATGCTAAAGCATCATACATACAGGAACGAGTAGCGGCCGAGGCATCAATCTGTCAACGTCCACCAGGTGCCGCGTCTCCGTTCGAGGTGATTGATAGGTTTTCGCTGAACAGTCGGGGGTCATCTATTTCATATTACAAAACGGCGGTTTTATGGGAAGCTATTCGCGCCACCCTCAGCAAAATCCATGCGATTTAATGCTCGCTTTCTGATCTCTCGATACAGCTCACTCGCGTTTCACGATGACCCGATCAATGCAATAAAACATATCCAATAGATAGCCTTCAGCCCTATACTTTTCAAAATCTTCCATAGGTCATTTTTGTCGATATGTTACTGAATGTATGTATAATTTATGAATTCTATGAAATTCCTCGAAAATAATGCAGGTAATGCCGAATGAGTTCAAGAAGCATATAAAAGCGTCTAATAAAATACTATTAATTACCTTCTGAATTCCTCGGTTTCTATAAAATGGCAAACCTGTTCGAAGTAACTGAAATAAAAATGATAAATATTACTGGAAATTTTAATTCTGCTGCTAACTAAACTAACCAACAAAAATTCTTTTTGTAACTACTATTGTTTAATATTCCCTCTCTCATTTCCAATTGTAGCCAAATATTTTTTTATTGAGCAGATATAAATTTTAAATTATAAAATTTGATAATTAAGTCGAAGGAAACGAAAATAGTATAGAAATAGGATATAAAAATTTTATTAGAGTTTAATGTAGTTAGAAGATGAGTTTATTGTGCTTTACAGAAATTAAATTTTTCGAATAAAAACTTCATAAAAAACGAGAGAGACGAGAAAAATCTCGCTCTCGTGTGAAACCCTATGTATTGCAAATGAAAAATTTATGTCTGTATAATAAATATATAATGTAAAAATAATTCCGAAAAATTATAGTCGACCAACAACTAGCTACTGAATGATGTAATCTGAGAGATATTATCTACGTTGATATTCTGTCATTAAAAGGCACTGCTTTGCAAGAAAATTCCATTCCACGAAATGATATCGCTTACTTTATAACGACACATTGCAATATTCCGTATGAGAGATGATCATCGTCATTTATATACGAGACCGCATGTGTTGATTTACGAAACGTTAGGGAAACCGGAAATTAACTACGAAATGAGGAACGACAATTCTATTTCCGGCAACATAACTTGCATTCAGTTCCATAAAGCGATAGAAGTTGAGCTACTGAAATACACACACTAACTATTCATCGTTCCGGTTGCACTCCAACTTTTACAAGTTCCCTGACGAAGTTAACGTAAGAGTTAGTTTGACAAAGTCTAAATCCCACACATTTTGTTAAACTTCTGGAACGTGTCTCAAATTCAGAAGACGTAACGTTAGATAGAACACTTACATTACACATTGTTATTTCGACTTTGCTTAGTCAATATACGTAACAACTGCGAGTAAACAGTCAATAAACAGCCATAAATTTTATTTTGTTTTCTATTGTTCAGTACCTTTTGGAATTACAGTAAAAGTTCCTTATTCATGGTTTCCTTATTCGCGTTTTCATTATTCGAGGGTGAAAAAATTACAACCCAGTTCCTGTATTCGCGGCTAAAAATTTCATTATTCGCGGATGCAATCGGTAAACAGAAAAAGAGTCGGTGTCATTTATTAAGGGGATTGACCGCAATAAACCGTTCGCGCCTAGTGTGAATTTTTCCGAAAAACTTCTATCATAAACATTGTTCACACTAACTCGGTACGTTTTTGGTTTTCAATAATATAGTCATTAAAAGCTTTTACAAGTGCTTAAAGTTGATGCTTCTTGTAGGACACGTATTTCCAATAGAAATTAAAAAAATTAAAAAATGGCCTTCGACAGACTTTAGAATAAAGCTTTATCTATCTTACTACAAAATTTCAAACCTCTGTTTCAAACATTAAACTCATGATATCTAGAACCGATAATCATGTTTTTACTCTACGACGCGTGTACTACTGAATCTCCTTAATGTATCGTCTGGCATCTTTTTAGTATGTACTGTTGACTCGTGCCGAGGTGACTTTTATAAAAAATGTAACAGAGTGGACTAATTTCAGAATTAAAATAAAAAAAATGTTTACAATTGTAAAGATACCTGACCCTACTATCTCATCTCCATTTTGGAGGATTGAACTATAGATGTTTTTCTAAAATGAAAATAAAGGTAATAGTGTAATGAAAGTAAAATAGACTGCTCCGATGCTTATAATTTATTATTAATGAAAGAATTAATAAAAATTGTTAAACAACTGCAGTAAATCCAAATTTTATTATTCACTGTTTTGTATATTACAAGAAGTATAAACTTTTACAACACTAAACGAAACAAATCAGTAAGTTAGTAAAAATATTATTTTAGACTAATTATTACAGAAAGCATCAAAATAAATATGTTGAAAGCCTTTGTTTACTTTAAGAAGAACGACTTTGTGCACTAAAGTAAGTTTTTCCTGTTTCGCATTGCGTTGAGTTGCAGTTGAAGAAAACTGGTAGAGTATGTAACAGCAATATTGACAATCTGAAAAAAAGTCGTGATGAAATTGCCAAACTTTCTCATGTTGCTAAAAACATTACTGCAGACATTGCATCCCAATTCAGTTGTAAAATATTGAGTATTGAAAATGACGGAGTGGTGTAAATAATATGGAGAGATGCCAATTTTAGAAACTCTGCTGATTTTGTAGACGACTCCAAGTCTATGACGCTATTCCAGAACTCGTGGATAAGAGGTCCTGTTTCGGTTGCCTAAACATAAAAAGTATTGTTTAGCACTGCACGATAATCTAGTATATTAAAAGTATCTTAAATTATTTCTAGTTACAAGCGTGCGTCGAAACTGCTAGACGCGGATCGCGATTTCGATCTTTTTGGATCTCATCAGCGCGTCGCAGGCAGCTCCGACAGAACACAGACCAACTTTTACCTGCTGTCTTAACAGTGCGTTTCAGAAAATACTACTAATTTTAGGATTACGTAAAAATACGTTTCGACAGAATACAGACCACTTCGAATTATTTTATTCGATTTAGCTAACGTGCCTATCACGTTGAGGTTGGCTACGCCAGGATACGTTTTCAGCAAGCAGATATCCACAAAAGTGGACCTTGTTGAAAAATACGTAATCCTAAAATGTAGCATCGTGCTACAGATGGCGTTCACTGTGCCGTTTGTAGTATTTTCTGAAACGCACAGTCATAAATTGGTTTTTGGATATTTGTCTTTTTCTGAAAAAGCCAAAACCAAAATCGTTGAAGTACCTATACAAAGTGTAATTACTAAAGAACATTATGTTGTATGTTAGCAATTTACTATTTCTTATCAATGCACCACGGGCAGATCAGATAAATCAGACAATTCATTGACATTATGTCGCCATCTACCGATATTATTTGTTAACTACGGTATTTCATATATTCGATAAGGGCTTTACGAAGTTATGTATCTGTCAAACTAGAAAAAATTGAGCATTTGAGTAATTTATTCCCAACACCTCTTATTATGTAGGTGGACAGACATTTTTTTCCAATCACGCCGGAGGGTAGGGAAGAAGCCTCCTTACAGGGATCACATGGAAATGGGTGGATGGTTGTCGGGGAAATGAATACAGAGGAGGATAATTACTGCCCCAGCATTTGTCTAAGTGTTCCAAGGGAGCTACGAAAAAAACTTGGACCGAGGCAGGCGAATAAAATAACTCTAATCATCATTATCAACGCAAGATACGTTGTATACTTTGATAATGACAATTAAAGTGGACGAAACACGTGTCTGTGGTAGCTAGGGGTGAATGTCTTACTAGTTTATATTCTTACCTCAGCCTTCTTCATTTTCATTGTTTATTAATTTGCGTGCCTATAAATTAAGTTATAGATTGAATTTAGCACTTAGAAAGCCCTTTATCGAGCATATTTATGAATACTTCTGTTAGCAAGTGGCGATTTCTTGATATATTATACATTATGTTACAAAATCCGATGCTAGATGCAGAACAAAACCTCGAAATCATGTGTTATATATATATATCTGATTTTCCCCAATGTTTGATAATATCTAATAATTCGAAGTTATTAAGGAGTAAAGGTTTCTATCATTCATTTGATAATACACAGAGCTTTGATTGATTACATGTAATAGTTATGTGACATTGAAATTTTATATTAAATATTACTTAGCTTCCCAAATTGTTTACCTCTTTTTCTATCATGGTCCATGAAGAAATAATAACCATCAAAACTGCCATATCTTTCGTTAGTTCTGTTAGTAGACCTATTAGCTTAAAGAAAATTCGCCAAGAGAACGTATTAAATAAAGACAAATATAAACCGTAGTCAATGACAACAGTCAACGAACATGTTGCAACAGCTAATGTAGCAATAATGCCAATTTCAAAAGCTTTTTTTGTGTCCATACTGGTTTTATTCACGCACCAACGCAAGTGCAGTTGTTGTTTAATGTCATTTATTTTGATATCAATTTTGTCATTTAAATCTTCAATTTGTAAAATGCCTTCTTTGAATTGCTTCTTTATAAATGTAACGTATTCAATGTCTTTCTTCAACCGATAATTAATTGTCCTCAATTGATATTTTAATCGATGGTTTATCACCAGATTCAGCTCCATCAATAAGCAATTAATCATTTCTTCTGTCTTATTAATTACAGAAATATAAGTTCGTCCAGTATGTTGATAATTAAGAAATGGTGTTACAATTACCCAATATATACTATTAATTAGGAAAGGAACCAATAAAATATATTTTGTAAACGTTGTATTCCTCAGATCGTTATTGTTTAGACGTACATCTGTGACGTTAGTATTTTCTATAATTTTCTTCATGGCTTTTCTTTGTACAATTCCTTGATAAATAAATAAATATCTCGCTAATTGACAAAGAATGTGAAATACAATTTCACTGAATATGAAGTGTCTTCTATTGTTGTTCAGTAAATATAGGAAAAGCTGTTTCGCGCTTAAGAAAGATAAGTATTTAAAAACCACAAATAGCGGTAAATATATTACGTAATCTTGCCAGGATAAAATCACTTTGTTTTTGTTTATTTTAAAAAATGTTACACCAGCATATCGGCCGACATTAACTAAATTTTTAATACTTTTAAAAATACTTTCACGCATTTTCACTTTACCACAGATCACTAACGCATGCAAATAGCAAATGCAGAAATATGATTCTTTTATAGTCTGAATTATTTATTTAAAATAAATGGATTAAACGTCACACACATAACATGATGTATTTGATAGTGCCTACATGCTTTTGCACTTGTATATAATATTTTATTGAAATGCAATTCTATGCCTATCATTCAAGACTAATAGCAGTAATAAATCAAGAAAATGCATGACCTCATAATTTTTTTTTTTTTTATGAAAAATATTTTCCTTCAAAATTAACTTACAACTGAATGTACTTCTGCTGAATACTCTTCGTAATTACTCTGTATGTTTAATTATCGAATTTTTTGTTTGGAATCTCATCAAAATAATGATCATTACGTTAACATTTAATTAAATATCATTAAAACCGTAGTTTCCAATAAGAGCATTGCTTTAAAATTCGATTTTTGTCCTTGTTACATGACCATAACAGCATCCTAATGCATACAATTACAGCATAATCCGCAGCAAGATGAGAAACAAAAGTATTATCCGAGCAATTTTAATGCCGGGGAAACGCAGATAATCACATTTGGGTTACTACTTTTTATTTTAAACCGAACTTTTAACTAAATCCCAGAAACTTAAGTGTAAAATGGGTCGAGAAAAACACTGAGTTACATGCTGCTTGGAAATACGGAAATCATAAGGTCATCAGTCCTAAGACTGGTTGGACACTACAGAAGCAATTACTTAATTTTAATAGGTACCTGATTTATTAAAATTCACATTTGTATTATTTATATTATCTTTTTAAAATTTTTTGACTCCTTGCATCTTAATAAAATGGAACTTCTGTAACTCAAACTAAGTACAGTGTAAACTGCTTATAACGTCACTCGATTTAACGACAAACTCCTTAAAACGTCGAAATTGCTTGACTGGTTGAATTACATTGTTTTCTATACAATATTACACTCTATATAGCGTCACTCTCACTCTATTTAACGACAACAATGCGGCATTATAAATCATTGAGCAGTACTTTCTAAGTTGCCGAAATAGATAATAACTGCAGCTGTGTACGTTGTTGAAGAAGACGGTCCTCCACCAAGCATCAAACAAACACTTGATGCAGCGAAACTATTAAAAAAATACTTTTTATATAATCAAATTGATCCAGCAGTATCTCAAGATATGAGTAAGATACGTAACCAAATACAATTAAAATATTGGATCAGCAAAAAACATCAGACGAAGATAACAGGTTGTACGCAATGTATGAATAATAATGTTCGTGTGCAAAGTGTGTACTATATCGGTAAATGCATATCATCATAGAATAGTAAAATAATATCTTTTATTTCTCTCCATTTAACGACCACTCTTTATAACGCCGAAAAATGTTTAGTCCCTTAAGTGTCGTTATATAGAGTTTACACTGTATTTTTTCTCATTTGTTACACAATTTATTTCGTACATAGTAATACCCCTGTGTCTATAGACATACTTATACGAACATATTGTTTCTCGCTGAGTAATTTATCTGAAATTTTCATCTTTAGTAGTAAACGTAAGCTTCTCTTAAAAACCTACTCTACTGTTTGAAAGGGTCAAATGATGCGAAAGAATGCGAGCGGCTTGTAAAGCTTTCCGCTAGACGTGAAAGTAGCAGCGAAAGCTCACTGTGCGACGCTCACTTGATCGATGGCATTCGGGGCAATAAGGATGTCCTATTTGCATGTATGAGCCGGAGCGTGGCTGTTAAAATTCAGACGTGATTGATGTGTACATGTGCGCCTTTTATTATGAACGTTGCCCATGAATTTTACCAACTAACTATTCTGTACCTTACTATCCTACCTACGTATGTAGGTACATATGTACAAGTACTTTTTTTTTAGATTCATACAACAGTTGGGGTAAATAATAAATGTTCCTATTGCGATCCGTCTAATTGGAATACATCACCGGTACAGTATCAGTCATGTTAAATTGTTAATTACAATAAAAAAACCGTAAGTGAATGTAGGATTTTATTGATGGTTGTTGAAATAAAAACTGCACCGGGTCTTTTCGGAAGAAAAGAATATATATATTTTCCAATAGCAAGTATTATAAACGTTACGAAGATGTTGACTTGAAATATTACATAGATTTACAAGAACAACCAATACTAAAAACACATCGACACATTAATTAATATTGTGCAATCTTAACGTCTTCCGTAATTCGCGTCTTTGGTTTTTTTCTTAACAGATTTGATTCTCATCGCGGAATGCCGGCCGCCCTCACGTCCTCCCGCGTTTCCAAACTCAAGTATCGCCTTTTGATTAATTAAATAATTATGTACAGTACCGGGCAAAAAAAAAGATAAAATATATAAAAATAAATGGGTTCCCACATGAATGAAAAATTAATTCCTAACAATGACTAATTAATTTAAGTTATTTTTGTTTTAAATAACTTAATTTTTAATATCTAACTGTTTTGCAATGCTAATAATATAGATAATTGTAACTGTGTCAGTAAATCACAATAACGTCGGTGAATTATCTATAAAATTGTTTTTACTTGAATCACTTCGAATCATATTCTTTTTTTTTTAACGTCACTAGTGTTTAAATTTATTTTAATTTAGATCGCACACCAAGGGTTGCGTACCTTTTCAAATGTAATATGCTAATTTCAGAGATAAGATTGAAGTCATGGACAATTTTTTGCAATAACTTAAATTAAATTACTCAACTGGTTTTCTGTTTTAAAGTTAAAGTTAAATCACGTCATGAAATTAAGCATGTGATAGACAGTGTAAACTCTGTATAACGACACTTAAGGGACTGAACATTTTTCGGCGTTTTAAAGAGTGGTTGTTAAATGGAGAGAAATAAAAGATATTATTTTACTATTCTATAATAATATGCATTTACCAATATAGTACACATTTTGCACACGAACATTATTATTCATACATTGCGTATAGCCTGTTATCTTCGTCTGATGTTTTTTGCTGCTCCAATATTTTAATTGTATTTTGTTACGTATCTTACTCATATCTTGAGATACTGCTGGATCAATTTGATTATATAAAAAGTATTTTTTTAATAGTTTCGCTGCATCAAGTGCTTGTTTGATGCTTGGTGGAGGGACAGGATCGTCTTCTTCAACAACATACACAGCTGCAGTTCTTATCTATTTCGGCAACTTAGAAAGTATTGCTCAATGATTTATAATGCCGCATTGTTGTCGTTAAATAGAGTGAGCGTGACGCTATATAGAGTGTAATATTGTATAGAAAACAATGTAAACCAACCAAAGTCAAGCAATTTCGACGTTTTAAGGAGTTTGTCGTTAAACCGAGTGACGTTATAAAGAGTTTACACTGTATTTGAAATTATCTTATAGAAATGAGGCATGAAAGCATTTAATAAAAATAGGCATAGCGCCATTCTGACTAAAGATAAAAAACCTTTTTTATTTTTTATATCGCGTTTTCAATTTTATTTCCTGTATACTTTTCATGAGTACGGGTTCATAAAACAGGATTTCTTCTTTGATGTCAAAATCACGGCGCCTTTGAGAGCAATAGAAGTTGTTTACGAATAGTGAGCAAGTAGCGCCTCATTCCTTTTCAGACTCTGCTACAAACGTATGTGTACAGCTTGTGTTGCAAAATGTTTCCAAAGCTGCATACATAAGCTTTCAGTTTTCCACATTAGCTGCTTAAAACTTTTTTTTGGGTGCAATTTTCTATAAATTATTGTCCCCTTAGGTATATGAACGATATATGTTTAACAGAAATGCATTCGTCGGATATTTCGAATGAAGGATCCATGAATTTACGTTTTGTTATCATCAGTGTTGTAGAAATACTATTGTACATACTTAAAAAGTAAATAACTACCTGTATAATTTAGGCTTATGCACATTATTGAAGACCTATAATGTAATTAGGCTTTAAGTTATTTGGGATTATTTAATTTTAATCCAAATCCCCGAAAAAATTGTTTTTATTTTTCTGATCTGACGCTACAATCCCTTTGGTTTCGAACAATGCAATAATAATATGAATAATTATAACGGATTGTAATCAATAACTGAGTTGATATGATGGTATTTATTCAAAACAAGATTCTGATTTGACTAAGTAATTATAGTGTCGTATGCATACAGAAATTATCATTTACGAACACTATAAAGGGCGTAGCAACTTTTGCGTCACCCTGTACTTATCGTCATCAAAAGGTCGTTAGTTATAAGGCTGGTTGGACACGCGCCTCAACTCTTTCCTATTCTAAGCTAATACGAGGGCGGTTCAATAAGTACCCGTGTTAGAAATGAAGACACCTTTTTTTTAAATTTGTTTTTATTTTTAAACATACTCCCCTTTTAGAAAAATACACTTCTCCCAACGACCCTGCCATTTTTTTTACCCCTCCTAAAAATAAGATTTGTCGAACTATCCAAAATCCCCCCTGTCTCGGCGATGAGTTCCTCGTTTGAGCTAAATTTCTTTCTCTCTAGTCATTTGTTTATGGTAGGGAACAAGATGAAGTCGCAGGGAGTCAAATCGAGTGAGTAAGGGGTGTGCGGCAGCAAATTTATAACGTAATTCATGCAGTTTGGAGCAACAACTCCTGATGAATGTGCCGGTGCGTTATCCTGTTGAAAACGCACCTTCTTTTTCGTCAAATGCGTCCGTGTCTCCTTCAATTTTTTGTCGAAGCCTCCAATAACTTACTGTAGTATTGTCCAGTGATCGTTCTTCCTTTTCCTAAAAAATCCGTAAAACGATTTCCTCGGTTTCCGAACGATACTGCTCTTTTTCCATCTTAGCGAAAATAACGAAACACGTCTCAGTCGAATGGCTGCGAAATCCAAACTAACCTATCAATCAGTCTGAAATTCGTTTTGGCGTGGTTTGATATATGGCAGCACACGATGACAACACCAATTTCCCTCAGAAACGTCCTCCGTCTTCAAACACGGGTACTTATTGAACCGCCCTCGTATAAAATCCTACATCCCTAATCTAATCAAATTAAATGCATACCCCTGTGCTACTTATCTGCTAGCCCTGATTTTAATATGACTAACTAGTCCATATCTGCCCAATCCACAACGCCCTCTGTTTGAACAAATCCTTTTTTCCAAACCGTCGACGTTTCGCACCCAAATAGAGTCATACTCCAAACAAACACCTACCTGACTCCTTAGATGTCGAGAATCATGTGTTCTTGTGCAAAAATACATTCATAAACCAATAAATTATTTAATTGTGGCAATAATATGATTAAACAATGTTCTATTTGTTACAGGTCTTTCGGAAAACGTATATCTCAATGCTGTGAAAAGATTTCCTACAGGAACGGACCCATTGCTGAACGAAATAGGTGTTTCGGATCAAGATAATGCCCTTCTCAGTTGTTCAGAAGTGAAAAAGGTGTGGTCCCCTTGTCAGTGTCATTTAGAATTGTGTATCGGATGGTATCCTTGCGGTCTAAAATATTGTAAAGGTAAAGGGGAGAACAAAAACTCGGCAATGACATACCGATGCGGGATAAAAACATGCCGTAAATGCCATCATTTTTCGTATTTCGTGTCGCAAAAGCAGTTGTGCCTGTGGGACGAGTGATTAATTTCAAACGCGCCAACTGACTTGTGTTTCGCGACAACTGCCTTAAAATGATTTCGTCAACTTGGACCAACATGCCTTAGAATAAGCGTAATTTTTTAATATCCTTGTAAATATGTACGTACATCGAATCTTTTAAATTAACAATAAAAAAAAAATACAAACACAAATCCTTTTTATAATTTTTGGAAAAGGCCAGAATAAGCTTATTATTACATTGCTCGACTGGATTGTTTTTTATTTATATTAGGAAAATATTGACTTTATAATAGAAGATTTTAGTGTTAATAATTAAGTATGGATTAATTTGTTATTTTCATTTTAACAAAAAACTAGAGATAAGATTCATCTTAACCGAAGATGGTTAATTTCTTTTTAAATTAATTGTTAATTAAGACACTTTA